TTACATTGCCGCCAAGAAAAGGGAGACTGGAATAGATAATTCTCCAGCACCGCTAGCAGCCACATAGCGGCTAGTATTATAGGCAGGAGAACATTATCGACAAAGACGAGGGAGACGACAAATATGCAAGCATAAACAAACAGATGAAATGAAGTACGAAGTTAGAGGTCACTTCAAATTATATGCAGCATACATCAAGGTATTAGCCGCGTATTGTCTAAACCCTCGTCCTCTAGCTTGAAAGAGTTCTCATTATAATCACAGTTCAGGCAATACATATGAGCACAAACATTTGTTTTTAAAATAGTATTGTGCTTCGTGGTGTAAAAGAGAGTATTTTGCAATCCTCCGAGTATTATGCAGCGTCACGCAGGTAGTTTCATGAAAAAATGAACCATAGGGAAACATTAGCCTTTTTGGCTTCATCGCCAAGACCTTTAATCCAAAACCTGCATTAAAAACAATTTCCCCGAGAAGTACATTTGTGTTCATTCTTATGGTCAAAGGGATATAAGAAATATCGCCAAGGTAGCCAAGGTAGTGATAATATCGTCTAAAAGTTGCACCTTACAGGGCACTACATTCAAAGGCGCATTATTCTGAAGGCATTGCAGCTCATATTCCGACATGCGACTCCGATTTTGGTCCGAGTCTTTTACAAATGCGATCAAAGCCCTGCAACGTACATTAATTTTTATATGGCATAGCTTTTACTGACTCCAGAAGAGAAAAAGACTGCCACCTCTCTGCTACAACTGAAAATATATTTTTTATTTTTTGTTACCTAGCGATTTGGGCTTACGAAATGCACATCTGCTGACCGAGGGACGACCGCGATTAGACGATGTCCAGCGGGCGTTCGGATTCTCCTCCACAGTTCTCACTCGATGTGTAATTGGCGTCGTCCTTGTCTTTGCTATCATCATACCAACAGCAGCTGTTATTCCCGAGACACTAAATTACCAAATGTTTCAAGCCTGGGTAAGTCGCGTTATTCTGACACTGACTATTTATTTAAACAAAATTACTACTTGCACATGCACAGTCTTAATAGTAGGATGGAAAGGGAAGGAAGGTATTAGTAGAACGGCTTTAATTTCACCGTAAAATAATGATATTACCGGGAATTTTAACAGTTCAGAACCCCTGGGTGTACATGAATGTGCGGCCTGAGTCAATTATATCCTTTGTTCGAAATCTTTGTGTGTGGTGTACCGGCTAGCCCATATGTGTGATAGGTGTAAGCGGGTCGTCTAGTTCTGTCAGCCCCAGAGACCAATCCCGTCTCAGACAAAGTACCCCACGGACAGTGATTTAGCGTCTTTGAGTGGGAACTGAAAGAGAGGGAAGCCGACAGAACTCAGCGTATACTAATAACTGTAAACGGTATGACACGCTTGAATGCATTATGTTCCGCTTAAAGACGTAACCTGGGTGTCTATTAGCTGACGGAATACCTTTGTCCTCCTTCCAGGACATAGAGAAGGGCCGCAGTGTGTCCTTCTTTATGTGGCCTTTATGGCGCTTAGTTTTATTCCGTTTTATTTCTTGTTTTGTGAAATCCTGGTGCCTTGTGCTCGGACTAGGAGGTGAAATGGGGCGCATGGGCACGAATTCACGCCATAACAGGCACCCACGTCCCATTTCGCCTACAATCTAATTGAATCTGTCTTGACACACGGATCCACGTTCGTGAAAGACTTGTATGGCTATAGACTAATTCATATGCTATTAGTCGCCCCTGTGTTCTTCAGTTTACGAAGCACTTGGTGGACAGCATCGGCAATTATGGGACTAACTTTAGCTTATTATTTCCCTTGCGTATTAATGTCCATTTATAAAATTTTATTATTATTAGCCCCTTACAAATGCTAATTTCGCCTTTCAGATGCATATTCTACTCATCTGGCTTGCGGGTTCCGCGATTTTCTGCCTCTTTATGCCCATCCTCTTTGAGGTGGAGAATATTTATTTGGCTTACAAACGCCGACAAGAGGCAGATAGACCGGACAGCTTCAAGCCAGGACAGTCGGCTACCTTCACACAGGGTATTGTGGAAAAAATGTAGGTTCCCCCTTCTGTTCTTGTTGCTTACTTTTATTGCAAGTAAAACTGAACTACTACCTCATTTTTAATCTCCTTCTAGAAAATCGACGTACACAACCATCATGACACGCATCGGGGAGTTCGACAACGAGACTGGCCTTCTGGAAGCCGGATAACGCAGTTCATTTTTTTTCAGACCTTACTCATCGCAGAAAATATTAGAGTCATTTTTGTGCAAATATAAATGTAGTTAAACATGTTTTCTTATGAATTCATATAATTGTTGGCTTTATGTGTTTTCAGTTATATGCATTCAGCAGCAAACCATTTCGCAAAAACACTGAGGTAGTAAATCTGCCCAAAATTTCACAGATAAATCAAATAATCACCGTAAATATAAATACAAATTATTCCAAAGTAAGAGAAAACCACGAGCGTATAGTATGCAGGCTGCCTCATTGAAATAAAATTGTGCGGGAACTGAAGTAGAAACAGTAGCACTACTAATAGTAATAGTGGTATTACTAGTAGAAAGCATGCTTTCTACATTTACTCTTTGGCTTCCATTCTTACAACAAGGGTTTGTCAAGTGAAACATAGTAACATGCTCTTTTTATGATGGTTTGGAAAACAGACAAGCATGCTTTTTTCCAAAATCTAACAATATTTTCAAGGGTGTAATAGTTCACTATAGTTCAATGTATTTAAGTTAATAGGCGATACCTTTAAGGACTTTATTGAAAACGGTATGCAAATACAGTCAACATAATATACACAAGATAAATAGTCATTCTGAGGATCGTACATAAAATTGTCAAATAACAGATATCAATTTCATCTGCAAGTGTGAGCGAAGAGTTAATATGTTCTAACGGTGGTTTGCTGTGCTGATGAACAGTATCACCTAAGTAAACGCACATCAAGATTGCGTTGAAATGCAACATCACCGAGATGCGACCCACCAGACTCCAGAGTCCACCAACAAGTTGGTGACCACGTGTGTGAGTGCGACCACCGTAATCGGTGATGTCCACCATATGCTCGAGAGCAGGGACGGTGA